TTTTTTTTGGGGAATTAAATTAAATGTGAGGAGAGGTGGTGAAAGTCAAGGGAGGGAGTATTGATTTGAGGAACAGAGTGGAGGAGCGTTTTCTATATGAAGACTGTAGTAACGGTCGAATCTTAATTTCAATCCAACGGTCGAATTTTGTGTGGGTTGGGTTGGGCTGACTGGGTTTAAATGGGATTGGGTCGGGTCACTTTTTCTCTATGGGGTACATTGTACTTTGTGGATATTTCTCATTTAAATCATGTAATGTATATATATAATAATATGAGTTCATTTAATAAAAATATGTTGCATTTAATAAAAAAAATTTATGGCCTCAATACAAAAATCGTTACAACTGTTTTCCTTATCATTTATTCTCATCCAATCATCCACCTACTTTTTACTATATTTTGGATTTGTAACGGTTTCATGCGATTGCCCTTTTTTATTTCCTTATATTTGGATAATGTAAATGTTGCATTGTTACGAGATAATATTTAAACCCTTAAATTTGAATGGTTAAAAATATTTTTTAAATTTGTATGTTGACTATTCACATGCAAAAGAAGTATTAAATATTGATATGATATAGATACAATGCAAAATATATATAATAAAAGTCATCTTTTGTAATGAAGATCTTTACACCAATTCATTCATATTCAAATTTTTCATGCAAGATAGTACACTATATTAGTTGAATTTAATGAAAAATAATTATCCATTTTAATTTTATATAATAAATATAGTGATGAATTTGAATACTTTTATGATATTCGTTTTTACAAACGACAAAATTTTGAAAATGTGATACTATTATTTAACTTATAATTTTACGATTATACACATACACGTAACTTATAAGTTATAATAATTTAAGTTTTTGTGCCTGTGCACATGATCACATACTAGTGTACAGAATGCGAGAAAGACTTAGCCCGACTCATTTTGTTGTTTCTCTCTTAAATTTAAGGGTTTTTTCTTAAGTGAGCAATATAGTTTCTTTTTTCATATTAGAGCATTTTCAATGGTACGTGGATTGGTCTAAACAATTTTTACTATATATTATATTATTTATTCAATTTATTTTTTTTTTCTCCAACTAACTACAGTCTTACAAATGTTAAATTATACCACAATTAAAATTAACCATTAGAAATGATATTTTTTTAATTTCACTTCTATCTGGTATACATATCAAAATGTAGAATATGTCATTGTAGATCTTTTACCTTTCTCTCTTTATGCTTTTTTTTTTTTTTTT